AACGCTTTAATGTAACACACACACAAAAAAAAAAAAAAAAAATTCTTAGTGTACTTTTTCCAAACGTAACACTCCAATAAGTGTAATCCCAAATGTAACACTTCAATGTAACATACTCCAATATAACATACAAAAACACTAAAAAAAAAATTTCTTAGTATACTTTTTTCAAACATAACACTCACAGTTTGAAATTATATATTTGCCTAAAACTTACTAAAAAATATTTTTGGAGTGTTATATTACAGTGTTATGTTTAAAAAAAGTACAGTAAATAACTTTTTTATGTGTTACATTAGCATATTGCAGTAAGATTTTTTTTTAGTGTTACATTGGAGTGTTACTTTTGAATGTTGTATTGAAGTATTACATTTTTTAGTAGGTTTATACGCTTTGTGGATATGAAGCCCACTATTTTTTATCAATTAAAATTTATATAATCATTTTAGACTAATACTAAGTAGGTAGCATCAACAATCCCCACAATCACTCTACCAAATTTTAAAAAAAATGAAAATGTTAAACCATACATACACCCAAATCCCAAAAAACCATCAAAATCAAATATCAAATAAGGGCAAACAAGTAAACTCTAATATTACTAAATCAAATCAATAATACATACTATAAATAAAAAGGACTAATTGGTTTATAAAAAAACATGTAGGACTAAATGGACTAACATTTTTTCAAATGAAATTTATGAGTTAATATTTTTAAAATTTATAATATCTAAAAGGACTAGGTTTTAAATTAACTCATAAATCATAACATTATCGTAGCTATTATAATAGTCCTTTCAAATTAAAATGGATGCAAATTTAATGAATACTTTTAAAATTTTAAGTAATTTTTTTACATTTTTATATGGACCTCACTTAAATGTATCAAAAATAAAATATTTGTATAAAAATATTTTAAAAAATCAAAATACAAAAGAACACAAAAATGTACTAAATTTTCGTATTTTTCTATATTTTGATATTTAGTGATTTTTTTTAAAAAAATCACAAATATTAGGAAAAATTACTCATAAATCCTATTTTGATAAATGTTGCTCTAATTAGTCCTGAGTGTTTTTCTTTAAACCATTTAGTCCTTTTTATTTTTGACATGATATATATTTTTGATATATTGTATACGGAGTTTACATTTTTACCCCTTTTGATTTCATTTTGCAGGTCTCCCAATCTCTCCATTGATGGCAGCTCCGTCACTGGCATTCAAGTTCGCTTCGTTCTTCTACAAAACCGGCCTCATCTGGCACGATCTTCGAAATTTCAATCTCGCCAACACTTGCTTCGAGAAAGCCACAGATCTCACCTCTAGGATCGATATTGGGGTTGTAATAGACAGCGAAGACCGAAAACTCCTGCTAGGTCTGAACATCGCGTGATCGAGAATGGTTTGGAAAAATTGTGTTGTTGAAGAATGAGGTTTGTGGTGTGAACGGAGGGTTGAAATTGATGAACGAAGCTTTAGATCTGTACGAGAAGGGGCTGAGGATCGTAAAGTGGCAAGACAAAACCCTAGCTCTCAAAACATTGAGATCAAAGACGCTTAGATTCATTGCGGCTTCACATTTGCAGAGAGATGAGTTCGTTAGTGTGTTGAAGTCTGTTAGGGTTTTGAGAGATGGTGGTGGTGGAGGGATTATTCATTGTTCGCATCATAGCATCGTCCACAACACACATGCCACATAACTTAAGCAATGGTATCAACAATGGTGCTGGTAATTTCGAATGCAATATATGCTTTGACTTAGCCCAAGATCCAATTGTTACTCTTTGTGGTCACCTCTTTTGCTTGCCTGATGTTTCATGATATTTGATGATGTAATTGATGTTGATGATGTTTTGATGATGTTGATGATTTTTTGATGATGTTTGATGATGTTGCTGATGTAGTTGATGTTAGATGATATTTGATGATGTTCATGATGTAGTTGATGTTTGATGATGTTGCTGATGTTTGATGATGTTGATGATGCAGTTGATGTTGGAAGATTTTGATGATGTTTACGATGTAGTTGATGTTTGATGTTGCAGTTGATGTTGCTGATGTTGATGATGTTTTGATGATGTTGATTTTTTATGATGTTTGATGATGTTGATAATGTAGTTGATGTTGCTGATGGTGATGATGTAGTTGATGTTTGCTGATGTTGATGATGTAGCTGATGTTGATGATGTAGTTGACATTGCTGATGTTTGGAAAGGAGGGAAATCATAAAAAAACCTATAGTAAGCTTTTTGGGTAATTTTGTCATTACAATATCAGTAAAAACTTACATTTGCCTTCCATCAAAAAAAAAATTACATGTTAAATAAATGAGTATATACGTAATTGACATTCAAGTAGCACTTATCAGTCTACAAAATAAAAGGTAGGACCAAATGGTTTAACAAATTAAAATTTGAGATTTATTGGTGTTTTGTCCCAAATATTATACTTGTGTATCTAATTTTTTTTTATAAAAAAAAAAACTTAAAATATTAGAAAAGTACAGTAAAAATAAAAAAAATATGAAAAATAATTTTTTTAATTTTTTGAAAACTTTTTTGTAAATGCATATTATCTTCCATAGCAAATTATAGAAATGGTATAAAATTTAGATATTTTCCTCAAAAATTTTGACATTTCTTATCAATTTTTCCTTCTCTATCCTAACTTTTCTCTCTCATATAGGACTAGTAATCGGACCTTTAAATCCGCCGACAAAGCATCACAACATTTGAAAATCCTAATCTTGTCGCCTTCCGAGGAAAGTCACGTGGCACGCCTCTACTCTCCTCCATCAGTCCGCATTAGTCCGCTGCTTTTCGCTGCCACCAACCACATCACCATCACACTTTCGGATTAATGTTTGGCAACTTAGAAAGAAAAAAAATGATTGGGTAAATGATAAGTTAAAAAGGAAAGAAAAGGAATTGTTTGTATGGGAAAGATTATGTACACATTCTTTGATTAAATTGGTGTGTAGCGTAGATACTTTGGCCTATTTCGATAATACGGGTAAAAGTTTTTTTTTTAAAATTTTTTTAGGATGAAATACCAATAAATTTAAAAACATGATATTGTGAACTGTTTAGTCATTTTTTTATGAACTCAAAGTTTCATTAAATTATATAAAAAGATAATCACTTATACGTTTAGGTTTTATTTTTGAGTGATGAAAGTGGATTTTTCCAAATGTGAAATTATATATTTGGGCAATTCGCACAATAGAGGTTTTGAATTTTCCTCTTCCTGGAACAAATCTCACATTACGAATAAGAACGTAACACTCCAATAACGTAATACTCTAATATAACACACTAAAAAATTCTCAGTATACTTTTTCCAAATATAACAATATAACAGTAAAAAACAAACTCATACTTTTCTTAAACGTATCACTCCAATCAATATAACACTCTAATGTAACACATAAAAAATATGTTAGTGTTCTTTTTCTAAATTTTAAATGTAATACTCCAATGTAACACACACAAAATTACTACTAAAACATTCTTTAGTGTACTATTCTCAAACGTAAAACTCACAGTTTGAAATTATATATTTGTCCAAAGCTTACTAAGGAATTTTTGTACTCGTTTTGGAATAATTTGAAGAATCTCACATCTTTTTTTTTTTCTTTTTTGGAATGTTACATTAGAGTGTTATGTTTAGGAAAAGTACACTAAAAAGTTTTTTTCTATATTACATTGGAATGTTACACTAAGGAGTTTTTTTATATGTTACATTAGAGTGTTACGTTTGAAAAAAGTATACTAAGGAATTTTTTTAGTGTGTTACATTGGAGTATTACAGTTTGAAATTATACGTTTGTACTCTTTTTGAAATGTTTGAAGAATCTCACATTTTTTTGAAATGTTTGCAAAAATCTTATATTTCAAGTTATTTTGTATTTCTTTTGGAATGTTTAAAAAGTCTCATATTTCAAGTCATTCTAAATATAAAAAAAAAAAGATTTTCATATAAAAATTTATCCAAAATTTGATTCCCATAAGTTGTGTATCTTAACTTTGTAGCCAAAAAGAAGAAGAAGAAGAAGAAGAAGAAGAAAATATAAAAAAAAAAGAAAAAAAAAAAAGAAGAAGAAGAAGAAAAAGAAGAAGGAAATATAATAGAAATGAGGGTATAACCTGAATTTGGGGAGGCTGCTGTGCACCCCACGCAGCAGCATTTGCTGTGTGGCGAAATGGGTCCATTTCGGGGTCCATTTTGATAATCTGAACCGTTCACATTTAAAAATATATCAAGCAAAACATGCCTGCAAAAAATTAAGTTAATCAGATATCATTTACCTGTTCATCCACTCACATTTATATTCATTTTAATACTTTAAATTACAATTATTATTTATTTTTGTAGATAGAAATGTGAGTAGAAAAATGGGTAAATGATATCCGATTAATTTAATTTTTTGCAGGCAGGTTCCACTTGACGTATTCTAAAATGTGAACGGTTCTGATTATCAAAATAAACCTCGAAATGGGTCCATTTCGCCGCACAACAGATGCTGCTGCGCGGGTGTGTAGTAGCATCCGCAATCCCGTATAACCTAAACCTAATTTCTAAATAATATATTAAATCTACTTTTCCAAAATTAATGGGACTAATTGGTTTCTAAAAAAATTCTTAGGACTAAATGAATCACCCTTCTTCAAGATGAGATTTATAAATAAATTTTTCTTTAATTTATTTGTATTAATTTATATTGAAATATGATATAAAAAGTGTATGTAGTTGAATTATATTTATTTATGTTTTTTTTTACACTGGGCAAGAGTTTTTAATAAACAAATCTTATCCATGGCACTGTTCGTAAATGTCCTAAACAATACATTACAATTGCAAGTTAGGTTTTTATGTCATGACATTATATATTATTAGCAGATTTTTGAACATGCCTATAAAAAAAAACAAAAAAAAACTTATTGGGCCAAATAGGAGAGACTGGGTAGCATAGTTCTAAATATTGGCCGGTAACTAGGTAGAACATGAAGGCGGCATATTTGAATAGTAATTTGAATTGAAAGAACTTATACATCTGAAAACAAAAGTCAATGCATACTGAAAGAAGGAAAATGGAGTAACAAAGAAGGCAATCATGAAATACCTTACAGAACATATCATAGAGCCGCCAAGATGCATCCTCGTGCAGGCTGTGTTATAGAGAATCCAGATTTATTGGATAAAGATCATGGGCATACGTAGAGGATGAGCCATTTCGTGTTGTGCCCAATGAATCAACAAGGGTCTGATCGTTACTTGAACTTTGGAGTTGCATAGCATCATACTTATCTCTGAGGGCTTCGAATCTGAATTCATCACCGTAATTACTTGGATCCATGATTGATCCTTGAATGCAATCATGACCTTCAAGCATTCTTACTACTGCAGACATGGCAGGCCTAAGTGCCGGTGAAGGATTAGTGCATAATAATCCTACCTTGATCATTCTTATTGCCTCTTCATTGTCAAAATTAGAACCCAACTTTGGATCCACCAACTCCATTAAACATCCTTTTTGTTGTAAAACAAATGCCTGAAATTAAAAGAAGAAAGAGATCATATGAAAAGTCCTCCTTGACACAACCAATTCAGGTAGTTTGTGTGTTAACTTGTCATAGCTGGCCAATAAAGCCAAACGGATAGGTCCCAAAACAATTTCTGATGCAACAACCCCAAAACTGTAAATATCTGCTTTGTGGGTTAAAATACCCCATAATGCATATTCCGGTGCCATATACCCTCTGCACAAGAAACATAATTTTGTTAATTATAATTTAAAATATCAGCATTTTAGTACAGTTGCAACATTAACCAATAGCTTTAAGTGGTAAATTCTAACAGTGAATGACTTTGTTTGGCAATTTACAAGCACTCATACAATTTGCAAGGTGATCAAAACTTCATTAGTTCGTTGACTTAAGAACATTAAGATACATTTTTAACAATGCAAGGCATTGTAGTGATGAAAAGTTACTGAAAAGTGAACTGCATAATAGCTAAACCATAACATTATAATTACTAGAAGCGAAAATCACCATATAGCTAAAACGAAGTCACTTTGCATGGGCTTGGAGCCAAGCAAAAATCAAAGTGGTTTGCCTGGTTGAGTTTTGGTGTGGGCTTCTGTATGATGGGCCACATTGCTCTCATCTAACTTTCTAATTCTATAATCCGATTCCATTTCCATTGTATACATGTATTATGTAAACAAAATAAACATTTAATGGGAGATTACGCATTGAATTTCTGGTAGTAGATCCATAATCAAAAAAGTGTTTATGATTGTTCCAGAAGAAATAAAACAAAAGATAGGGTAGAGCTAGGACAGTTATTGCATGAAGTCCACCCAATGCTAGATGCAGAGGTGCATAATAAAAACGTGGCCGTCCTGTTGAACACTTTCAGGGAACCAATTCAACCTTTGTAATTTTAGTCAACGCTACGTGCATGTTTGGTGCAACTTCGCTCAAGCTAAAAGCTAAAAATTAAAAACTAAAGTTAAAAGCACCTTTATCTCAGCTTTCAAATAATCAAAATTTTCAGCTTATTTAAGTTATTTCTATCTCATAAACTATAAGCAGAAGTTACAATAAACATTTTGGCACAAATTTTCAAATTAAAAAAGCTATAAGTAGCTCAAATAAGCTACATTGAAGAGGTACATTATTACATGGTAGTGATTTATGGCTGACAGGAAATGTAATAATGGATTTATAGCTAGTTCTAAGTTGGAATCTTTAGATATAATTACTTCTGAAAGCATGGGACAGTGTCAATCTGCATTAATGAAGGAGAAAATTTGGAAGCTTACATAGTTCCAGCAATCCTGGTGCTAATGTGGGTATTCTCATCTTCAGTAAGCTTAGCCAAACCAAAGTCAGAGATCTTAGGGTTAAGATTTCCATCAAGTAGTACGTTGGTAGCCTTGATGTCCCTATGAACTATTTTCAGTCTTGATTCCTCATGCAGGAATGTCAAACCTCTTGCAATGCCAATACAAATACTTAGCCTGGTAGGCCAATCCAATTTCAATTGGCACTCCCCTGGACTTGTAATTAAAAAGAAATATCAAACCAAGAAGGGGAAAAAACAGATCAGAAAAGAAAAAGAAGATCCAACTTAATAATAGTTATTACTAGAAGCCGTAAGTAAATTACCAAACAAAGCTCGGGCAAGACTATTATTTTCCATGTATTCATATACCAGGAGTAGTTGATTCCCTTCAATACAACATCCGTACAATCTTACTAAATTTGGATGCTGTAAACCCAAGATCGTGCCAATCTCATTAACAAATTCACGATTGCCTTGCTTTGATTTTGAAGAAAGTTGCTTAACTGCAATTACAGTGCCATCTAACAGTACACCCTGCATGGAAATAACATCGTCTGTTTTTAGTAACCCTCCCTCGACATGGGATTGACATCTCCATGTCATACATAGCATAAACAAAAAACTAACATGACTATGACAAGGTAACAACTACAATTGATTGCGATATACCTTATAAACAGATCCAAAACCACCTTCCCCAATCTTCTTGTTGTCATCAAAGTTGTTAGTAGCAGCTTTAATTTGTCGAAAGGCATATAAACCAGTTTTTGATTCTAATCCTCTTAGAGCTGCAGAAGAACAAGTGAGATATTTAACTGCATCATCTTATCATCAAAGCACCGACTTTGCTTTTTGGCCAAGTATTTAGGTGCCCATTCTAAAAATGTGACATTTGAAATAAAAAGATCAAGAAATTACAGCGCAAAAAACTGACGCTTAGTTTGGTTGCAGAAAAGTTGGAACAACCAAAAAGATAAGTTTCAAGCTTTCACAGCTACAAACAATTCCAACATTTTATAAGGTTCAAAATTTTGTTTCGTTGCCCTATAGATAGTTAGCAATCTCTACTCAAACAATTACTTTCAACTACTAAGTGATGCTTATAAAGGAAATTTAAATATAACAAAAACAAAAGTAAAATATAAAGGGGTCAAAATTCTCATTCTGTAATTGGTGTCATTTAGATATATGTTGTTTCAATTATCACTTATCAAACAACCTAAAACAGGATTAATATGACAATATTGATAGCGTGTATCCCTCCATACTATCCGGAATAAGAACATAAAATTCATATTGTTGGTAATTTGGATGCCCACTGTACTGACATTGTTCATAAACAACCAAAAAGCCTCACGCTGTGTTGGTTGGGGAATTTGGGAAGGAATTGAAAAGGGAAAAAGAAAATGTAGGTGAAACGTGAATAAAATATACTTACATTTCACCTAATTTCATACACCTTTCCTCTTTCTTTTTCCTTTTCCAAATCTCTTCCCAAATCTCCTAACAAACACACAACGTCAATCTGGATATATTGTTCCTACATTCTACAGTCCTACAATAGCCTAAATATTTAAAAGTTCATTTTTGGAATTTAAAATAAATAAATAAATAAATAATAAAACATGGCGTAAAAATAAGCCACCTTGTTCCCTGGAAGTAATACTTCTTGGAAAGCATTTCCACCAAAGGATAAAGAGAATCATGAATACAAGGCATATTGCAAAAGCTAAAGCTCCAACTACGATGAATATCTTCCTTTTCTGATCAGAACGCTTGAAATCTACACAAAGAAAAATCTGTAAAGCATAGATCAAAAGATTGCATACTACAGTCTACACCTTTTGTCCATAGCCTCAACAAACCAAATATCAAATATTTAAAATTCCTACAGTAAGAAATTATTTGACAACTTGCAGACAAATTAACTAGTAAGAGAAGAATTCTCAATCTGTAAATTATGCTTCTTCTTAATCTATAATTTTCAGATCTCAAGCAGAATAACTTTACAATATCATTGATTCAATCATCTGCAAGTATAGGGCAGAATTCAACAGAAAGAACCTCAAACACAAGCCTGAGAGAGAGAGAGAGAGAGAGAGAGAGGATGGTGCTTCACCATTCAGGAAGAAACGAGAAAAGCCTAAACAGAACATAACTTACTAGATTCTACAGAAATAGCTGATATAAGAGGACCATAAATTCCACTTGTAGGAACAGCTGTTGTCCCTTTGCCTGCCCAATAAAAGCGAATTTCTATAGTCTTGTTCTTCACAACTATGTTGTTAAATTTTAGAAGTACGGCCTTGTCAACCCCTTGTGCAACAGTAGCAATATCAAAATCCTTCCAAACCAGTTCATCCTGTAAGAAACCAATTAAACCAGATATGTTTCTGTTGCATTCTAAAAGGTGCAATTAAATTGATATTAACTACCTGAATATAAACATCAAATATTCGTCTTCCAAGACTCTGAAAGGATCGATTGTCTCTGAAAATAATCTCAGCAAAATGAAGGGTCACTGTATAGCTCCCATTTGCTAAGCAACGCCCATAATAAGTAAGAGACAGAGGAGAGACGCGAGCTCCTGTGTATAACTGAGAGTAGTCCATTGTGATAGCTCTGGTGAACATTTCAGAGTAGTTCTTTGTGAGATCTCTTGTGTACAATTGAGAGTAGTTCATTGCGAGAACAGATACATTTTTGGCTGTATAGTAGCTTGCATTTCTACTGGCGTCCCAGAAGTGTCCTGTGTTACTAAATCCCCAAATAGAACTTGGCCCTGCCTGCACAAAATTTGCTGGGCCTCCTTGGTATTCATCTGCTTCGTATATAGTGTTTTTGATGATGGCTTTTCCTCCACCACAATTTATATGTAATGAATACAAATCGTCTGAAAAAAGCATCATATGTGATCATATGAAAGGTAAAAACAAATTAAAAAAAAGGGAAAAACTGTGTGCACATGTTTTCCCTTGATAACAAGGGTGGATTGAAGAAAAATAAATAAATCTGAGCTATAACCGTGAGTTTTCATTGTGAGAAATACATACTCACTTGTTGGACAAGAATTCAAGCAACCAAAGTCCCTGGATTAATCCCGTAGAGAGAAAAATAGTAATTAAATACAGAAGAAATGAGAGAAGAAGAGGAGGGGTGGGGGGAATAGGATACCAGCATAATTCAGTAGAACACTGAAATGCAAACTGCAAGTTTTCAAATACGAGTTAGAAGCTTACAAGTGCTTCCCACTGGAGACGCTTCTGAACAAGTTTCTGATTTGATAAAAATAATAAATAAATTTAATGAAGGAAGAAAAAAGAAGAACACGTGAATGATGAAAATAAATGCATGGAAGTTAAGGAAGCTGCAGGGGAGATAGAGAGATCTTACGGGGTTTCTGTACAAGTAGATGGCTGCATAAAATTGTTATATGAAAGATCTAGGCTGCATAAAATTACACTTTGAATGATCACTCAACAAAATAATGAAAAAATAAAATATAATTTTGAGAATTTATAAATTCCGGGCATCATATATTGGCATATGACTGGAAGAAGAACAGATCCAACACCACATGACACAATGAAGTTTATGGACTCCTAAGTATTTCTCAACCACAGCTGCAATTCAAGTGTATGTATGCTCAGGAATATACATGTATTTGATTATTATATAATTAATTAAACAGCTAATGATTAGCAGTTCAATACAATATTTATATAAAATTGAGGGTGAATAGCATACTAGTCGTCATTACTTCTGCTCTTGATCCACTCTGGAATAGGCCCAGTAAGCATGTTCCTTGTCAGATACCTAATCAATGAGCAACATCATTTCACAATAGTGATGCAGTTACTTAGATTGACAATGTTTAATAAGTTAACGCAGAATGAAAATGCAGAAGGTTTAAGTTTCATTATTGGTGAGAAAATCCATCTATGAAGTAATGGGAAGACTTGGGTATTTAGTGCACTCTATAAGGCTGATGACTCCAAAACAAATAGCCAAATTTCATTATAAATCTACATCCTCACCCAAAACTGCTCTCAATCTCCTAGACAAGACTTCGGTCAAAATCTTATACAACGAAGTAACCAAACTAATAGGCCTAAATTCCCCAATTTTCAACGAATTTTCCATTTTAAGGATCAAACGTATGAATGTAGCATTAGTACACGCATTAACAACTCCATTTTCTTAAATGTAATTGCTTACATGTATTGCAAATTCTTGGCGCCTTCCAATTTTTGAATATTTCCTTCCAACCTGTTGTAGCTTAGGTCCCTGCCACAAATAACAATAAAAATTTTCACTAAGCACAAAACTTTAAGGGGTTGATTATAAGAAGAATATAGTAGAATAAATAATAGAAGCACTGACAAAATTCATTGATGAATTTTTTTTTTGATAAATAAAATTTATTGCCAAAAGCACCAAGAAGATGCTAAAAAATACAAAACCGAAACACCAAGAAGGGGAATACACCTAACCAATCAAATGGGTACAATACGATGGCAGTGGTAGTAAGTGGGACAGTGGTGGCGGTGGGGTTGTGGTTATGGTTGTGGCAGCAGTGGTAACCGGAGGTAGTAGGATGGCAGTGGTAGTAGGGTGGTGCTGTGGTGGTGGTAGGGTGGCAGTGGTAGTGGGACTGATCATATTGGGTACACTACTATCGTACTTAATTCATGAAAGGGGATGGAAAAACTACCGAAACCCCTAAATCATAAATAGCCCTTCCTTGAAAGTCTACATTCGTATTCTTATATGTAAAAGACTAAAAGTTTGCATCACGTATTTCATATCGACTTCATGCAGCGATATATATATCCATCTCAAAGTAAGAAGTTAAAAGTAGCCCACGATATACTACCCTTGTCAAGAAATAAATCCAGAACAAATTAAAAGAATTATGACAAAGAAGCACTTATTTAAAAAACAAACAAACAAACAAAACAAAACAAAAAAATGAAGGAGTGGGGGATTTACAATTGTTTTAAGGTCAAATTTACTAGATTGTCTGGGATTGATCCGGATATATTACAGTTCCTTAACATCCTGCAAAGCAAACCAGATTCATGCAAGTAAAGTTGAGCTAGTGACCGAAAAGATTATCATAGTTTGGATCATTTTTTCAATCATTGGTAGGACTTACAACTTTGTCATGGCTTTCATGTTTCCTAGTGCTGGAAATTTTGAAGCACCTCCATTTAAGTCACTGATCCTTCTGCTCAAAGATCCCATTAACAATAATTGCATTTAGAAGATTTTATCTCGATTTGAAGGCTTAAAATATGCAACTGAAATTATTTAATCCATGAAATATGACCAGAACAGGCTGAACTTACAGTTCAGTTAAATTATGCAAGAGAGAAATGTTAGAAGGTATAGGCCCTTCAAAACCGCTCGCTTCAAGCTCTCTGTCATGATATATATCAAATAGTCTACAATTACACTTGAAATTTTTTGCTTTGAAAATGTTACTTAATGTTAAAGGAAGTAACGCTTACAATATTTGAAGTTGTGTCAAACTCTGGAAACTGGGCAACTTTCCATTGAAATTGTTACTGCTTAACCTACTGCAGTTCCCAAAGTCGAAAACAAAATATTGAAAACTACTATAAAATATGGCACAATATGAATGTACAATTATGATACTGCACAAATTTACTGAACTTACAGTTCTCTCAATTTTCTCAGATTATTGAATTCCTTAGGTAGCTCCCCAGTGAGATTGTTAGATTTAAGATTGCTATAGTGCCCAAAGGGGGAAAAACCAATGTCAACATAAGAACTTCTGATAAATTGTACAATTTGTTGAAAGTCTAGAGTTGCATAAAGAAACATGAAGTATATAGAACAGGACTGACAGATAAACTAAGTTGACCAGATTCCCGAGCTCTGCTGGAATAGTTCCATAAAACATGTTGCCTTCTATGCTCCTGAAAATTCAATTTCTTTCAAAGTTCTTTTTTGCTCTTGTTCTTTTCCCACATTCATATGCACATGCACGTGTGCTTGTGTGTGTGTGCATGTGCACACACAGAGAGAGAGAGAGAGAGAGAGAGAGGGAAAGGGAGAGAGTGTACATATTTTTGAGAGTGGTAATCTTTCCAAAGGACTTCGGGATTGTTCCTGATAAGCGATTCACAGTAAAAGACCTACAGTAGTAACTTCACTTCGTTAAACTGAGGATGTACACAAAGCATTGGCTAGTCTGACAGAGAAGTGTATATATTGCTCACATATACTCCAACTTGGTAGAAGCCCATTCAGAGGGAAGAGGACCGCTAAGATAGTTGCGAGATAAGTCTCTGTAAACAATGGATAGCACTTTGAACTCAATGGAATCATAAAAACTAATCAACAGACATGAAAAAGAAACTTGGAAGTTCTTCCCACATGTATTTAATGTAGGTCAACTTCACTAACGATCGTGGTAGGACACCAGAAAGATCCTGCCCTTTAACAACTCTGTGACAAGAAAACAGAAACACTTAGATTCAAATTCTGGTTTAGCATATTTTCCAGTATGTAATGTTACATGTCAACACTCACAAATAAGGTAGTGAAATTCTTCAAACAATCAATTATTCATTCTTGAATTAGAGATTTGTATACAATATATAACCTAAGAGTCATCTCCATGAAAATAAATAATTACAGAATTCAATTTTTCAAAAACCAACAGTGTATAACAACAAATAATTAAAAGCACAAAACACGAAAAACTCCAAGTAATTAGAGTACACACATCCTGCAGATTTACATGCCTAATTATAGATGTGTAGGTGCCTCAGGTGTTTTGGACATTAACATTTCTGAACTGAATTGGAATGCACCTACTAAACATTTTATGGTATTAGAAGTGAAAGTTCAATCAACTGTTACTAAAATGAGGTTACCTAAATGAAGAACAGAAAACTCGCTCATTTATCTTGAAAGTGATCATATTTATGTTCTTTTAGTACATGACAATATTCATTATTTTGAATTTCATTTGTAGATTGGCTGCCATTTATTCTTGTCACTTTGAATACTCAAAATATCAGATTTCCACTTTGAATTACTATGAGTACTGTTGGCAGTCATTCCCTTTCTACGGGACATCAAAATACAACCTTAATTTTCCCAACAACCCTAGTAATTAGCAATACATGAATAGATGTTCATGGCAACCGCTTGCGTCCCTGTTAATAAGAAGTGACAGAACAATACCAGGGTTTTCTCAGCACATTGCTCTTTTTTTCATCTATACAAAACAAAATTTGGACTTTCAACTAACATTAATAAGTTTAACATACAGAGCATAAGCTAGTATTCAAACATCATTGCCTCCTAATTTAAAAATAAATAAAATAAAAAAATCATAAATAACATTTTAAGCCAAAAATGGAGTTGAATAATAAGTAGAGATTTATATTTAAAAACATAAAAAGGAACGTACATGGCACTGATGTGACATTCATCATCAGAAGGGCAGGTGCAATTGACAGTACAGTCATGCGTAAGGGAGAAGTCCCTTATTGGTGTTTGCCAGGTCAAGTTTTCATCACAATGTTTCAAATTGAAATTCCAGCCTTTTTCACCCAGTTGTTCAGCAATTTCACGAAGAGCTTCCACTGCAGAAATCAAAGTCATGTTAGCCTTTAAAGTAGTTAGAGATATGTGATATAACATGGAGAAATGCATGTATTAGCATTATTAAGTATGGTTAGACATCTTAGTATTTTTACAAATTGTGCCTAAAATGAAGTTCATGCATGAATAAACAAGGACAAATTGGTTAAACAAGATAAATAGTCATATCTGGAACCTTTTTTGAAATTGCCATTACAACTTTTCAGTAGATTTTTCAAACTTTGCTTAAAAGCACACTTCCTCATACAACACTCTTTAGATTATTGAATCTTGAAAGAAGCTTTGTCAATAGGAATAGCTAAAAAAAGGGTGACAACTAAACAAAAACAAAGGATGCAGTGGACTCAACCAATCTAATCATCTTAAATTATGACTTGTAATTAAGTTCTTTTTCATGTTTACAAATTTAAAAAAAAAAAAGAAGAAGGAAAATAGAAATGAATAAACTGAAATTATAGAAAGCCTCTTACTTTCATCATTGGGAATACGTCTAGTTTGTGCTTCAATTCGACCTGCTTCATCATAGCATATTAGTATAAACGATACAAGCATAAAAGTCCATGTAGCTTTTGGACATTCACTAACTGTTACCACCATATCTTTTTATATATTTGAGTTCTTTGAGCATATGGGCAAAGCTACATTCATACATATATAGCTCAAGGGTGTGGCAACTTGGTAAGCTATAAATCTTGAGCTTCAAGGTTCCACTCTTCTTGGGGCCAACCACCCAGACGACAACACATATGATTAGTAGGACAAACTTTCCATGCTTCGGCGAACCATACCCGGAGTGTGAGTGCAAATCATGTCTGTGTGTGAGTCTGCAACTTATCGCTACATGATTGAGTCGCCTTGTTATAAGTGACCTCAGGACCAATGATTTGAAAACCGGAGTCTGCAACCTATTGTTACATGATTGAGTCGCCTTGTTATAAGTGACCTTAGGACCAATGTTTTGAAAACCAAATTGGACCGGCCGGTTCTATTGGTTGAACCATTGACCGGTCCATGGTCCGGTCCGGATATACCTTCTAACCTGGTCCCTCTTGAAAAGAGGTCATTTTAAGCAAAACCGGTGGGAACCGCGGTTAAACCGGTTGACCCGGGCCGGGTTGAAGTGAACCGGACCGGTTTGCTATATATTTGGTCTAATATTAAAAAAGTTGATACTAAAGGGATTTGAACCCAACACCTCAAGTTCCAAAGAACATGATTTTCTATTCTACCACCATTGTTCCTTATTAGTATGTAGGAAATATATAATATTAATTGTATTCAAACTAATTTCTCTCAAACACATATATAATTAATATTTTTACAAATAATATTAATATAAAAAATATATATAAACATATATGTTTGATGAATATATATATTTTAAATTATAAAATCTTTTTAATGAATGTATTTTATTTATTTTTAAATCATAAAAATATTTATAAAATAATTATGACATCACGATTCGATTCCAGTTCGGCCTAACGATTGAATCGGTGACTTGTTCATCCAATCCATTTTCTAGTTCTTTAAACATTGCTTGGGACTCTACTCCTAAGTCACCCTCTGTGTTAGTGGTTTTTTTTTTTTTTTTTTTTTTTTTCATACATATATGAATATATACATATATGTGTGTGTGTGTGTGTGACTAGGGTTTTAAAAATTGGACCGGACTGGCCGGTTCGACCGGTTGAACTGTCAACCGGTCGGGGTTCCGGTCCGGATACACCCACTAAACTGTTCAGAGTGAAAAACCGGATTATTTTGAGAGAACCGAGAAAACCGGCTGTTGAACCACCGAACCGGTGACGGTTCACCGGGTCAATAAAATCGAAATTTTGTTTTGTTTTGTTTTTTTTTTTCTTTTTTTTATTCTTTCTTTCTTTCTTTTCTCTTTTTCTTTGTTATTTTATATATATATAAGAAAATTTTAATTGGAAACTCTCTTTCAAGGATCTCCTCTTGTGAGAAATCCCAAATCGAATTTTTGTTTTGTTTTGTTTTTTTTTTCTTTTTTTTATTCTTTCTTTCTTTCTTTTCTCTCTTTCTTTGTTATTTTATATATATATAAGAAAATTTTAATTGGAAACTCTCTTTCAATGATCTCCTCTTGTGAGGAATCCCATTGAGAGCTTAAATCACATTGAGAGCTTAAAATTATTGTGAAAGCCTCTACCTATTTATAAATTTTTTTTTTTTTCAAAAAACTCAAGAAATTTATGTGAGATTCAATCAAATTTATTGGAGGGAAACTTAAAATTTTGATATCCCTCGAAAATTTTTGTGCTACTTTCAATCAAATTATTTGAATTAAAATCATATGGAGGGAACATTGAATATTTGATTTCTTCTTCTAAAATTAAAATTAATAGTATTTAAAAATATATTTTTATATTGTTTAGTAAAAAAAGTATTAGGAGAAATATTTAAGATTATTTATTTTTTTAATATATAATTTTATTACTTATATTTTTATTTAAATATAATTTTAATATATTTATGACGTTAAGGTTCGATTTTCGTTCAACCCAACAGTTGAACCAATGACTCGTCCACCCGATCTTTTTTCCGGTTCACTTGCCGATCCGATTTTTAAAACATTGTGTGTGACCGACAGGAGAAGAAAATCATACACAATAGTGAAGGTGACTTATTGGTTTCACATGCATTTGTCGAGAAGCTCTTTCCTTGCTACCATAATATTGTACTGAAAGCATCCTCTTAGGACCCCATGGGCCATGCTGCTCTAACTTTTTGGTAACGGGATATGCACTTCCAACTTAAAATTGGGGGCAAGACCTTGCAAAAGAGAAATGTATGGATCCCCTTTTTTGGGGTTTCGTGACCTCTAATTTGATTTTGGTTTTTGATGTGTGTGTGGGATCCACTCATGTATGTATAAGTCCCACATTGTGAGTGGTTGAGATGAGAGTAGGGATTGTGAGAGTCATGTATGTATAAGACTTTCTATCACAATTGCCTTACAAAAATGCAACAACATTACTAATATAAAAAATAAACAGTCCAGCTACATTATTCAATTGAGACCCTCCAATTTCACATATAATAGAGATGTTTCAATTTCATCTCGAATGACTTGGCCACATTCAGTAGGGACTTCCAAATTCCACTTTCAATAGCGTGGCTAAAATCCATGTAAAACATTCTCACACTACTCTCTCTCTCTCTCACTCTCATATTTAGCTCCTAATCCATATCATTGGGATGAAATTGGGGACTAAAGTAGGGGATGAATTATTTTTCAAAAATAAAATAAAAAGAAACAACACTGCAACAGTGTTGCAGCTTATATGGACTCTTTTCTTTTTTCTAGTATACCCATGACCACCAGATATAACAAGGGTAGGGAGTGAGATTTTTGTCTAAACCTGTACCTAAATTAGACACTTGATTCCCTAAAAAAAAACTTATATTTGACAGCAAAGTAAAATTAATAGCTTTTCATATGGATTAGAGGTAAAGATTTGGAATAGAGAGGTGTTCTTTATTGAAAATTTGACATGGTGATTAACTCTTATACCAAATCATACATCCAATCCCATACTTCAAACTATAACATCTTTAACGATAAATCTATACTCATCCAATCTCAATTCTCGACGTAATGATTGACTCTATTATACAATTGTGCCCAAAAACTCCTTTTAGCTAGTAGTCTCCACCTTTGCCTCTCTCTCATAAAAATCTTTGAAGCAAATGAAGGTTTGGGCAAGTGAGGCCCACAATAGATTCTATTTTGATAATCATTCAATTTATTGAGTACTTTATGTATTTTATCTACAAAAAAAAAATTAAATTGATCTGATAATTGTAACTTATTTAATTTTTTATTACAAAAATATACAATAATTATATTTTTAAAAAATAAATTATATATTTTTTTAGTGCCAGACACAATAAATTAAATAAGTAATAACTATTAGATTGATCTAATTTTTTTTGAATGAAATAGACAAGGCGCTTATCAAAATGAACAATTCATATCATCAAAATAAAATCCGGACTCTACGGACCCAAACAGTGTCCTCCAACCTACTCGAAAATTTTGACATCTCTCATCAATTTTTTCTTCTCTATCCTCTAACTTTTCTCTCTCATGTGGGACTAGTAATCAGTCCTTTAAATCCAACATTAATGACCGACAAAGCATCAGTCTGCTGCTTTTCGCCCCCACCACCCACACCATTAATGACCCCAATCTTGTCGCCTTCCGAGGCCAGTCACACAAGGACGGGGACACACCACCAATCTCCTCCATCAGTCTGCTGCTTTTCGCTCCCACCACCCACAGCATCACACTTTTGGATTAATGTTTGGCAACTTAGAAAGAAAGAGGAAAAAAAAAATGATTGGGTAAATGATAAGTGAAAGGATAATTTTTAAGTGTGTAACTACCTATTATTTATAATTATTTAAATTCTCACAAATATATTTAAATTATCTTACAAAATTAATTAAATTTTCACAAATATACATAAATTAACTCATAAAAATTTAAAAAATTTACGTATATTTATAAGAACTTACTCAATTATGTGATGTAACTTACGTATATTTGTGATAATTTACACAAGTACATATGATATATACCTTACAAACTCAAACACTTCTCAAAATGAAAAAGTAGGGAAAAGGAATTGTTTGGATGGAAAACATTATGGTATGCATCCTTTAATTAAATTGATATGTATCGTATATATTTTATAATTAAAGAAGAAAATGACATAATTTTCTATTTTCTAAGTTATAATTATAAATAAATAAAAAAATCACAATCAAACAACACATGGGATATAACTAAATATCGTCATAATTATAAAAAAATATATATATAACCAAACAACATTCGAAACATAATCAAAGATCTCGTGAGTTATAACTAAAATAATATCATAATTAAAAAAGAAAATTGATCATAACTAAAGAGAAAAATGGCATAACTTAAAAGTGCATATGGTAGAAGGTGGTGTGTATAATAGAATTTCCACGTTGGATGGATAAGAGAGAATATAAAATAATGATATTAAATTTATTTATTTATTTTATCTTATTTGGTTAAATTATATAAAAGAAATGAAATGATATAAAATTATATTACTAAATTAATCTTTTATAAGTGCTAGTTTTTTTTTGTTTGTTCTATATTTAAAATGATAATAAAATGATAATTTTGATATTATAATAAAATAATATTTGGTTGGTTTTATTTTTCTTCCAATCTCTCTACTTTTGAAGAGATTGAAAATAAGAAATTATCAAATAAACGTGTTTTTCTCTATTTCTTTCCATTTATCTCCTATTTGGTAATCATTTATCTCCTATTTGGTCATCCAAACAAGTGATTAAAATTTAATTTTTTACATTTAATTTATTTTCTCTTCAAATCACTAAAACCGAATGAATTCTGAGATAAAAGACATCCACTCGCTTTGTTTTTAAGACTCGTTTGGTAATTGATTTTTTTTAGAGTTTTTTTAAATTTTTACAAAAACACAGAAAAGTAGAGAGATTGATGTGGCAATTTGTAGTGAATTTTAATTATTATTATTATTTTTTGACTAAAATAGCCTATCAACAAACTAGGCTTTAGTTTTTAAAAGTATTTTTTGAGTTTTTTTTTCTTTGTTGGTGGGATTCTGTTATTTTTAATGAATTTTTATTTTTGGATACACCTTATCTATATATATATATATATATATATAAAGTAAACTATTTTAAAGAAATACAAAAATTAATAAATATAAAAATGTATGAAAATGTACTGAATTTATATATATTTTTTTAAAACAAA